ACTGAATTATGTTAAATAAAAACAGTAAGTACTTCCAAGTTTGAATTCACAGTATCAATACAATTCCCATTTCTTTAAAAACATGTCTCTGTATTTCCTAGTATCACCCACTGAGAAGGAAGGCCACCCCAGTTACAATTATAACTCTCACAAGCGAAACTACGGTATCCGAGTATTTTTCCCACTGAAAAGAACCAGGTCTTCTTTTGGAAAAGTCTCTTTGCACATATGGAGTAGGAAATGTACAGAGACTGGAATCCTACATATGAAATGGACTTAACAAATACTGTGTCTTGTAAAAGGACTCAGGAGCTGACCTGAATAAGCCCCCACCGGTCATAGTGGGGATAATTTTGTTGTCAGTAAGAAGAATAATTGCAGTAGATTAAAGCACACTAGGGGTCTGTGCTTCTTGTATGCATACATGTATGTCTGTATGTATAGTCTATGGTATCACAATAAACTCCCCCAAATAAACAACAACACTAAATTTTGATCAAAATTGGAGGAGTTGCAAACTCATTACTAGTAAACATAAAGGAAAGAAAACAAGCATTTTTCCTGATTTTTTACACAAATTATACCACTTGGGAAATACATTGAAAAAAAGTTGCTAAAATTATACTATAACAATTTATAAGCACTAATGAATGGATGGATCTATGTTTCTAAGATGCCTCCTTCTAGAAGAACCTAAAACCACCAACAAGCCATGTTTGTCCCCACCAATTAATTGTCAGGCTTATATGATCAAGCTTCCAGATATAACTGCCAACTTAAGAAAACTCGAAGGGCAGAGCCCCCTGGAATTGCCTACAAAACCCAAACTCTTGACAAAGGGCTCAGTTTATTCAAAGAATGAATTGCAAAAAATGAAAAAGAGAGAAAAAGGTATACATTTAAAATTATTTGAGAATGAGAGATATATCAACTGTTTGTAATCATGTATTTGGATGTCAATTCAAATAAAGAATTTTTTTTAAAAACTGAATATGCACAAACACACACTTAGAACTTTTATAAAGTAACTGGAAAGTTAAACATTATCTAGATATTTGATGATACTAAGAATCTATTGCTAACCATATTTATTTTAGTACCAGAAATCGAACTCATGACCTTGTGCTTGCCAGGCAGGCAAGGCACTACTGAGCTACATCCCCATCCCTATTGTTAAGCATTTTTAAGAATGATAATGGCATGGTGACTTTATTTGTGAGTCCTTATCTTTTAGAGATGCACACAGAAATGCTGAAGATGCAATAATATGATGCCTAGGATTTCTCTCAAAATAATATGGAGGAGGAAGTCAGGGGAACGAGTTTGGCCATGAATTAATGGTTGGGAAGTGGGTACTGGGTAGATCACTATAGCAATTTATTTTCTTTTGCATATGTTTGGAATGTTAGTTTCTCAAGGATATTTACTTTATCAGTAACATATATATTTGTGTATCCTACATAGTTATACATTGAGTAATGTGTGTGTGTCATTATCACTTCACACTCCCTGTAACTAGGTTCTCCAGAGGTAAGGGTTATTGAATTCAAGATGAGCAAACAACTTCATAAAATTACTTTTGCAACAAATATTTTAAAATGTATTTATTAAAACATTACAAGTTCTTAGAAACACTAAAATAAAAGTAATTGACCTATTTGTTATCTCTCATTGTACGTTTTCAAAAATCACAGATCATAAGAAATTGATATGCTTTTGTTTATTGTTCTGTTGCATAACCACTTCCCTATGTAGCTTCAATTTGTCTTGATCCAGCTGAAAATAAGGCCAACCCATAATATATTTGCTTATTTATGTGTCAAACTTCACCTTTCTGTGCTTGCTTTCCCATTTTCCTGGGTGATAATCCTTTCAAACTCAGACACCCCACATCCACTGCAATCTTGGGTCCCTACCTATGAAAATAGAGGGCTAAACATTTTGTGCTTGTTGATTGAATACACCTTGATTGACACTAAATCATACCAAAAATCTTACAATCTTTAATCTGGTGCTCATTTTTAAGTTTTGTTCTCTGTTTCTTCCTCCCCCTCCCGCTCCCTCCTCCTCCTCCCCCCTTCTCCTCCTTCTTCTTCATAGCAGAACAACCTGAAGGACTTCTTTATTCAAGGGAGATTTCATAATCAGAAAAGTTCTATTCGAGCCTAACACCCTCTGTCACAGCAAACTGACATAAAGCTCATCTCATTGCACCTTGTATACATGTAAGGAATTATCACACTCCATCCCATACATATGTACTGTTAATAATAATTTTACAAAAGCTCACCTCTAAATCAACACAAGTAGTGAATTCAGGAAAATGGGAGTGAGGGTGACACGCTCTGCAGTGAGAAAGGCAGACACACAACAGCTACCGTGGCATGAAAGTTCATGGCTTGTTTTGAGAGAATATAGTAAAATGTTTGGGGATTGGAGCTTTATGGTTTAGCCATAGGTCAGCAAATTGCAACCAAAAGCCCAAATCCAGCCTACCACCTGGTTTTGGAATAACCAGTAAACTAAGAATGATTTTTAACATTTTTTCAATGGTTAAAGAATCTTAAGAACATTAATATTTGGTGAGATGTGAGAATTAGGTGAAATTTAAACATGTCTTAAACAGAGTTTGAATGAAATACAGCCATTCTTATCCATTTGCTTGTTTTCTATGGCTGTTTTTGTGTACCATATCAGAATGAAGTGACTGAAGTAGAGACCAAATGGCCCCCAAACCATAAAATATTTATTGTGTAGCCCTTTACAACAAAAATTATGGCCTCTGCTTTAATTAAGGGGGCAGAGGCAGAGAGGATTATAACGCAGGAAAATCATGATTACATTTACTTTTTAAGTGGATCATTGGTGAGGGAAAGGGGAAATAAAAGGGATCAAGATGGAATATGTATATGTACCAATAACCCATGTGAATACATATATGATTATTCAAAAATGTATACTACTATAAATTTTTTTAAATAAAATGGATCAAATAATAAGCATTTAAAGTTTGAATGCATCTACTGTACAGCCAAAATGGCCTTTCAAAAGTTAACACTGATTTTCAAGATCACAAGAAGTTTAGAAAAGAGCTCAATTCATTAATTGGGCACTTGATTTCAACAAGTACAATTACTGAGTATATTCTTCTTGTTTTTACTTTTCACTTTAATGGGCTTATGTTGTAATTTCACATAGAATTTTTTGCTTGTTAGAGTGAATTCTTCTTTCATATGTTTGATAGCAATTCTACATTTTCCAAATATCTATATTCTTTATGTATGTTTCCAATGAGCTTTTAAATTAATGTACATGAACTGTTTTTTTTATTTTTATTTTTATTTTTTCCCCATTAACTTTATTGGTACATTTTAGGTATAAAATACAGTTACTTTCATCATTGGGCTCTTGTACCTTTACATGAGTATCTTGGTTCTTATTTTTTTCCCCTTCCCTTGCCCTCCCTTCACCCACTCCACCCTTCCCTATTTTCAAAGACCTTGTTTCCATTTTTTTCCTCTTCTCATATTTTTTCCTTTCCCTTTTTTCCCTTCCCCTACCCTTCCCAATTCCCCTGCTCTTTTACACCTTTTCTTCCTGTTACACAGTATGGTATACATTTTTTAAATTACAATATTAA